TTTAGAGATTTTTGAAGACAGGCTAGGTCAGTGAGAGTACTTGCATTCTAGTTAGATAGTTGGCACACATTATATATCAATTTGTTCTAGTGTACATGACTTTTTACACAGTACACCAAGAAAGTGTAACATAAGTCTTAGGGTAACATAAGTCTTTGGGTGACTTTCACTTATGTTAATTTTCTATACACAGAAAGAATATAGTTGTTGTTTTTTTTATAGCCACTATATACACTTCAGTAAGTTTTGTCTTCCTCTGCCTCCTTTTCTGTTATGATTTAGGCTGTTGACTTTGAGTGCAGTTGCTAATGCTCTTGAAGTAGAGAGAAGGGAACTGATCAGTCAACATTCAGATTGCATGACTCTGCCCTACTGGAAGGATTTGTCTAAACTAATGTATCAAAGTGATCAACTTAATTCCTGTGTAGTTTTATCACTTGTCAAACTGTATCATTATTTAAATTAGGAAAAAGTAAGAAACTGTTGTCATTATCTGTTGTTTTTTTTACATACATAACTACTGGTTTCATGTACAGAGTTCGCCCTTAGGTCAGCTGATTTTTAATAAAAATGTTATTGAAGTGTCACACACATATATTTAATACTATCTTTGAACATATTTTAAATTTTTGGTTATAAATGTTAATATCCTTTATTTTTTCTCTGCAGGTATTTGATCATATTTACTGGCAGCAAAAGCAGAGGACACTTTAACACAGCCATATCCAGCCTTCTCTTGTTCATCTCCTCTTCAACTTATGTCAAGACTTCAATGTTCTTGTCCTAATTGTCTGTGAAACTGAGCCTCTGCTGAAATTGAGCCATTCTATTACTTGAACCATAAGATCAAAAGTGAGAAACCAGTATTATATAGTCTTTAATAATACATCTGTCTGCTGGCATACTAAGAGATCAGGGGCAGCAAACTCAGTTCCTTGAGGAAATTACCCACTCTTGTTTATCTTCAAGAGTCTTTGAAGTTTATTTTGTTTGGATAGCCTTTACCAATCTTTCAATCCTAGTGAAAACTATAAAAAAAAAATTAAAAAAAATTGAAAGATGCATAAAAAAAAAAGAAGTTTGTTTTGTTTCTTAGAATTTACTATTTGACATTTGTTACCATCTCTTAATGTTCCTGTTAGCTACACAACTGTCTGTCTGACCTACCACTCATTCCAAGCTTACTGACCCAAGAGTTACATGAGCTTTAAGACTGGCTGAAATGTCACAGAACCTAAATTGTCATGCTGGTCTCATACTGGAGGAAGTTGGCTCTGTCATCTTGTAGGCTTGGGAGAAAAATACCCTAGGGGAAGGGAGAGAACTGAATCTGCCTAGCCACAGGGACCAGTATTCTTAAGAAATTATTGATTCCATCAGTATTTCTTCTTAAGGCTAACATTCTGCTATTACAGAGCTAGCACAAGCTATAAAGTATCCAGTGAATTAGGTGTGTTCACTATTTAAAGGAAAAGTCTTAAAACAGTTTTCTTTATTGATGTACCAGAATTGAAAACACTTTTTATTAACTGCTATAAGACTACCAAATTTTACTTGAACACATGTACACTCCTACATCATTAACCTGCATTTTTAAATGGCATCTTGTTTTTTGCTAGGGTAATGGGTGGGAGCCATTCAGTGCAAATTGTCATGGTTGGACTGGAGGGTACTGGCAAAACCACTTTACTGTACAGGCTCAAATTTAAACAGTACACTGGAACTATACCCACCATCGGCTTCAACTGCGAGAAGGTGGAAGTACAAGAGGGTAAGGCCAGGGGTGTCACCTTCACCATCTGGGACATTGGGGGCAAGGATAACATGAGGCCCCTTTGGAAGTCCTACCTGCGCTCAGCCAATGGGATTCTCTTCGTGGTGGACAGCAGCAGTGCTGAGAGCTCTGAGGAAGCCAGAATGGAGCTGATGAAATTGGTGAAGACTCAGAACCCCCAGAACATCCCCACGTTGGTGGTAGCCAACAAGCAGGACCTGCCCTCTGCTATGTCACCTGAGGAGGTGTCTAAAGCTGTGGGTGTTGAGGAGCTATCTAGATCACATCCCTGTAAGCTGATACCAACCTGTTCAGTGACAGGTGAAGGGCTGACAGAAGCTATGGACATGATGTATGAAATGATTAAGAAATGGAAGAAAGGAAAGGGTAAAGCTAGGTAGCACTTGTTCAGTCTTGTGCAGTTCACATAATCCAAAAGGTATCATTGTCAAATTTTTACAATCATTGTTGAGGTCTTACAATGTCTAGACATTGTCCTGAAATCTATGGCATATTAATGCCAATACAAAGCTGTGCTGATCAGGTTGTTATAGCTCAATATTTGTGCTAACCAGGCCAGAATCATTGCAATTATTTGTGCCAGTTGTGTTCAGTATGATATTCTTGATCTGATCGTCTGACAAAATCTTTCTCTGATACTTATGTTTTCTTTGTCCCATAGTAAAATAAATTTACATTTTTCTAATGTATCATGTCAATAATTATTAACTTGTATTTTATCATTGTAAATGTAATATCTACCATTAATTTAATTCCTTACATGACATTGCAGGTATTATATATTAAGGCACCACATATTGTCCTATTTCAGTATGTAATTTTATTTTACAGTTGTTACTTCCATATTATCTTATGGGTTTCCAAAAGATATTACATTTTTTTGCCATTATGAGATTGCATATGCTTATTAAATGATATATTTATTTTCTGCCTGAGTGAAACAAGTTGTCTATTGTGTATGTTTGTCCCTGTGCATGGCATGTAAAAAAAGAGGCTGTGAATACTTTAGATTTTGTACATTTTGTAAATAAGGTATTTTGTATTTGAAGCTGTTACTTTCAGTAAACAGCCAGCTAGCTTTAATAAAAGTCTTTAATGAACAATTACTTTGATATTTTTGGGCCAAGAAAGAACTCTCTAATCAATTAACTCAATAGCAAATGTGAGTGTATCTAAATCATTTTTAATGACCTGTCATAACCAAATCCTTTTAATTGAATTCAGCTCAGATTAAGGAAGTGAAATGATTGCTTTACAAAAAAATATTGTAAAAAATCAAATGCTGTAAAAGAAATATTCTAGAAATTTATTTCCAAAAATTTTTTTTCTGAGTTAAGAATAAGCCTAGAATTTGTATTTTGTTGTCTAAAAATTTACATTTTAATATTAATGCAGTATATTTACATTGAATGTTAAATGGAATTTTTAAATAAGTAAGTAATCTCAAAAATACAAAACAAACTACAAGGACCGTACTATCCAAGTATAAAATCATAATTATCTCAAGTTTTTCATTCCAATAAAAATATAATAAGGGAGAACCTATTCTTGCTGTCTTTTGAAGATTTGGAAGCATTTAAATTATTTGTTTAAGCTGTCTTCTTTAAATTTATTGTTGGAAGAAAACATTGTCATTCTTGACCTCATTAGCATTATGACTTTATTATTGTAGAAATAACAGGCTAACAGCACAATTTGCTTTTACTTGAAGAAATCCAGATTCATGATACTGATACGCTGCACATTAAAATGAAATTGATTGCTTATGTAATCATTTTTTAAATATTTTTTTCTATGTTGGGGCAGCAAAAACCAAATGTTTTTTTTTTAAAAATAGATTGTGAATGTAAGAGTATGATTGTTGGCTGAGTACTCGCCATCTTGAAGGGCAGGCTCTTCATATTACAGATAGGCTGCATTCTGTTTTGTGGTTATTTTTTAATCCATTAGATTTTTTGAATTTTTTTCCCCCTTAATTTCCAGTGGTGTAACTGTAGATTGATGTCCCAATCATGTTCTTAATTTAAGGTGTCATAACATCCTGCATATTACTTTGAATCTTTTGTTTTGTCCTTTATGGCAAATTTTATTGCTAAACATTGGAGAGAAATGTTGTAGATTACTAGAAATAGATTTCATATACATTTATTATTGAATGTAAGGGAAAATTCCTAATTCTTTTTCACATTCATAGTCAAACTTTTTTGCTCAATATTCATAGTTTCTTGAATGATGTATATTGATTTTTTTTCTTTCCCAAATAGAAATGACATTGTAGCAAATTCTTCTTCTTGCCATTTCTTTTAGCACTCTGCCAGCTAAGTTTTGTACTGTGTATGTTGTAAACAATGCTGGCAGTGTAAATTTTATAAACCTATGACCAGTAATATATGTTATTTATTTTAGAGTGCTTCCACAATTAGTGTAATTAATTAACACTTTCATATCATGCATTTTCTTGAGGTAGGGGGAGTAATCTGTTAATAAATTTTTAGTTTAAAAAAAAATGTAATATTAAGCAATAAAAAATTTTTTGACAATGATGTACAGCATCAGATGAGATTAAAATGTTGTTTTGTAAATTTCCCAAGCATAATTGGTATTAAGTACTAATGATTGTGAGATGTACAAACATTGTATGTGAATTACGTTCTACAGTCTTTTTGCTTTTTTCCACTTTCCATACTGCAATTTCTTTTTATGAAAAACGTTCCTTGATTTATTTAATAATTAGTTACAACTATCATTTTGCTTGTATTTTTTTTGTTGTTTTTTTTAAATTTGTTTTTAATCAGAATGTTTGATAAAAAAACAATATTATATCAAAAAATGAAATACTAAAAAATATTTCAGCTGAATAAATTAGATTAATAGCTGGCTGTTGATAGAAAAACAAAAACTAAGTAGTAGGCAGATTCTTTATGCCAAAGAAAAATGTAATAAAAAAGTATGTTAGTGAGATTAAGTGGAAAATTTAAAATATCTCCTAATAAAAGATTTTTTTTTTCACATAAGAAAAGTCAGTACATGTGTAGATACTGTATCATATTCTTGTTCTGGCACAAAGCTGTAACAAATTATTTAACTTAACTTTCATTAAATTAATTAACTTAAAGTTAACTTAAATTTATTCTCATTTGCTATTGTTTACCTGATAGATATAGAAGAAGACAAAGAAATAACTGTCATCATTTTTTTATAATTCATAGAAAATTCTAGAATTTTAAATTACTTATTTTAAAATTTTCTATTTTTTTGCCCCCCTTAAAGTTTGGTTTGTATAATGATTGTTTTTTTTAAAGAGTCATTTCTGATGTATCAAATTACACAATGCTGTAATGAAATTAATGGGAATTTTTAAAAAATTAACATGAATTAAAAAAAAAAAACGGCAACTATGTTTGATTAGCCTACCTAAGCCCATTACCTATGTTGATTCTCATTAACCTTTATAAATTGTTACTTGTTACTTCCTGACCAACTAGATCTGTGAAAGCCACTCCATCTAATTATTCCTCCATTAAATTCTGTTCGCTTTATCTTTTCCTTTTTATGGTTTGTATTTATAAATTAGTGTCCTATGATCAAAGTTGATAAAAATGTATTGTTGTAATAGCACTACTTTGTAAAAGCTACAATTTTTATTTTATGATTTTTGTTGAAACAAAGAAAAGAAAAGGGAAATAGTGCTTAACTTATTTTAGAAATATGACTGAAGACAGACTAAAGGGCAATAACTCAACAAAGGTTATAAAAACACTTGTTTATTAACACGTTTTTGATGGATAATATATTGATTCATTATAAATATATCATTAGCAAAATTTATTATTTTTGTTACACATTCAGTTTTGTTTTTGCAATATTTCAAATGTTGTCTTCTAACAAAAAAGCTTTAATTTATGATTGAAGTTAGTTCCATAGTAAATATTTCTGTGATGACAAACAAACAATGAAATGTTTTCAAATTCCAATAAACATTATGATTTGAAAAAAAAAAAATTCATTAACATTGTTAAACAGTTTTATTTAGTTACAGTACTTCTTATTCCATTCCAAACTCAGTCAGAAATAGGAAACATTTACATCGTAAAAGGGGGATTATTACCTTATCAATCAATTATCTTGGGTTTAACAATTATTTTTTAAATATAAAGACATTTGAGGCTATCCAAAGAAAAAATAAACTTAGTGATTTCAATTTTAGACTAGTTTTCGGAAATATATACATTAAAATTCCTGTATAAAATTATATTTTAACAACACAAAAGTTACTATATACAAATACAAACATTTAATTCTTTTCCTTAGTCATCAATACATTAGTTCATCTTAATGTGTCTATATTAAATACAGTCTTTATCAATACAACTGGCTATCGTTTTTACACCACCATAGGCTGTCACAAAACATAACCTAAACTTCAATATAAAGCACACAAATTATACAAAAATTATCAGAAGGTGTTGATTCTTGTTCACTGATTGAATTTAATGAATGAAACAGCAACAAAATATGGTATAAAATGGTTAACAAAATGTTTGTGAATTAAATGTACACATTGATTCAGACTTCAAGCTTGTTAGTTGCAGAAACATCTCTGATGCCTTTTAACAAAGGCATTAAATCTAAAAAGAAAAGATGTCATTACTGTTAACTTCTCTTGTTTAATGAAAAGTCAAGCAGCAGAAACATTGCATAAGAAAATGTCATAATGTTATTTAAGAATAATTCTGCATAAAATGATGCTATTATAGAGAGCACAATGCACTTTGGTCTTATTAAGATTAATTATATACTGTACATTGAAGTAGAGTTCTATTTTTCTATTTCATCTTTGTAATTGTCCTAAGAGTTGAGTCTAAGACTCGAGGAACTCTAGGCCTATGGAAGCTTGCCACATCTGCCTGTCTGAACAAACTTTAGTCAGGGATAGATCCAAGCAGATTTTACATCCCTATTCCAAGGCGCTCGGATTACAAGCAAGGCCAATGGCCCGCCCTATTCCTTTTCTGTACCACATCAGTCGTGCAGGTGTCCACCATAAAAATGGTCCTTTGAGGAACAAGAGAGTTCTGTTGTCATTGAGGCTTGAGAATGAAAGTTGGTTGGCCTACAGTTAAACCCTAAATTTAAAATCCAAATCTAAATTTGGAAATAAAAAGTCTCAGTTTGGCAGCTTATTAATTACCATTTCTTCATTCTCCCACAAATTATGTTCTATAATTATTATTCAGGGTAGCAGCTAATGGCAACATTTAGATTCAAACTCCAGAAGATTACGTTGAAACTCTAAGTGTAATACACACAATGAGACAGCCTTATATTAAGGCTTCTATTAAAATTTACAATTATTGAAGTCTATAAAAGTAAAGTAAAAAAGAAGTTTGTTTCTTAGAATTTACAATTATTAAAGAGCTCACATGCGAAATGGTCAGGACTTTCAATGTTGAACTCATTCCTCAATCTTTTGTTGGGAATAACTGTGTATCTGTAATTAAATTATTTTAACTCACTGCAAATTTGGGTCCTATAAAACATTTAAACTGCAGTAAATCTAGTAGTACTTAAAAGTACTTAATTTAATATACTCACTTGGTAACAAGCTGGACATGGTAGCTGCGGAACTCTTTAATAGAATCCACCAAAGCATTGTAAGCTAATGTCAGTTCAGGACTGCTGTTTTTTTCAGCTTGTAAAAAAAAATTTTTTAAAATTTAATTACATTTTTTTAACAGGATATTGAGTTTCTTTAGATTTAGATGTTTTTAGATAGCATTGAAAGGAGAATTCTTAACTAATGAAACCATTACAAGATTAAAACAAAATGAAAATAAAGCAGCATGGTTAACTGGAGCAAAGTGACAAAATCGTCAAACACTCCAGCACAAAGACTTAAAAGATTGAAAAAGTAAGGTAGCTAATAACACACAATTATAACTGGCTAATACAAAAATATTAACTACAAAAATACTGATACTCAGAAATTGAGAATGATAAGAGCACATTTCTTTGCTAGGAAAATCTTGTGTAGGAAGTGTCATTGAGCCTGAAACAGGTTGCTTAATTAACTAGGCTAAAGTAGAGTTCAAACTTTTATCTGACATGAAAGATTAGATTAACACAGGGGTATGGTTACGCATGATCATCTTTTTGAAGGAATGTCTGTAAATTTAGAATATGTATACAAAAAAGACATTATTAATAAAATACCTAAGTCTCTTAAACTGCCTGGCCATTGCTGAATCATCTCAAATAGTTGTCTATGCTTCTCACACCAAGATGTTCTCAACTTCTTAAAAAATGCCTGTTTATCTAAAAAAATCAACAACATTATACACAAGGAGAAGAGCCATGATCACTATAGTATAGTGGCAGTAAACAACACCTAGGAATATATACTGCTGTTATCACATTTAGACTAATTTAAATTAATGCATTACTCTTGTATTCACCTTCTGGATACCGAACTCCTAGCAGAGTATCCATGATTTGAAAAACTGTTGCCTGAGATGCAGCAGAGTTAATCACCTAAGAATACAGGTCTGCAGTATTAATTTACATTGTTAATTAATGTAAGAAACAACTAAGTATTCATCTAGTTATTTATAAACTATAGGAACAAAATTAACTTAATAAAATAACGCAAAGATTTCAACAGCTCTGTAGAAAAACATTTTGAAGCACACATCTTGAGTATGAATTACACTATGCTATACATCCTATTGTAGTTCTGGAAATTAGGTATGCTAAACATTGAAATCATTCCTGTAATTATTCTATATTACTCCCTCAATAATTTGATGGATGCTGCCTGGATGTGTATGCCCGCCACCATCCCCACCCTGTAGTTCGGACAAGGACTTAATAATCTTCATTTCTTAAGGCATGTCTAAAAACTTATGAGGTCGATGGCTGCAGTAGGTATGTGCTATTATTGAATAACACAAACCACTATGATGTTAAATTTATAATAAAATTATACATTCCTATTTCAAGTTTAATCTACAAGAAAAATCATAGTAAACTACTTTTTTTTAAACATTGCTTTCACATACAATGTTAAAAAGGAAGAAAGAAAAGTAAAAAATGTTTTTAAAAATACATTTTAATCAAGCTAACAATTTTATCCCGTTTTTTTCCTGTATAGAAATGAATTATGTCCCTTACTTAAAAAAAAAGTGTAATATAATTAGATGTGAAGAATAGGTATAAATTTATTAATATAAGTAAACTTAATTAATGTGAGATTTTATTGTTTACATACTATTCTTCGTGGTCTGTCTGTCACACCCTCATAAAGCATTCCGTCTGGAAGTCCACAAGTTTCATTAAACCTTCAGATGAAGACATAGTTTTTATTTAACATTACTGATGACATAGACATTTAATGTTTAATAATGTATTTAAGAATTTAAAGTAGAAAAAAAAAAGAAAAAGGTATTACCCACGAAGAAAAGATGTTATCACTCTAAAAAAGATGTCAGGCTGCATAACGTCTGTGATGATAACAAACAGAAGAACATTTTTTTACTTTTTGTTTTCTATTTTTACATATTATAGCCAACCTTGTCAACCTTAACATGATCAAGAGACAAGACTGACAACAATCTATTGATGTGGTACTGCTTGACTTAAATAAAATAAAATATGTGCTGGTAATGTAAGTTTTTTTTTTTTTTTAATAGCTACACAGAATATACATAGATGGTTGAGATTGTGAATGCATTCATAAATAAAAAGTGCTTATATTTTTAACACTTTTCATTATGTGGTCATTAAAATTATAAATATGACTGAAAAAAAATCCTTTAAGTGCTCAAAAAGAAATATGAAAATTTCTAATACTTTTTAACCTCTGAACAACTGTAATATAACGGTGCAGTTGAATGGATTTATTTTCTAAAAAATGTAATGAAAAAAACAACAACTGACTTTATCAGTATATGATAAGATATGAATAATTTTGCTGGATGTTTAGAAATGGACATCTGAAGCTTTACTTTTCAATATTTAGATATTTTATATTTCAGCTTACTGTGAAATTCTTTAGCCAATGAACTGTATTCTTTGAACCAAGACTGTAAATCTTTCAAAGCAGACAGAGCCAATGCTTCATCTTTTCCTTTCATGGCAGTTAGTATTGATTGGATGGCCTTTAAAAGTCATATAAGAAATTTGGTTCATCTTTAGGTGTTTAATGGAGGACATACAATTACAATTGACTATCATTTAATGTTTTTATAATGATAATAATAATAATAATCTTTATTATTGAAAAGGACATTAGTCTTAGAACTTGTGCATTACACAAAACAAAACATTATAACTATAGAAAATGAAATATACATTCACACCAGTTTCAATCAAACATTCTGAATAAAATAAAACTGGATTAAAAAAAAAAAAAGCTTTTATGTCCTAATCTGTAAAATTACATTTAAAATTTCTTACTGGGAAAGATTTTGTAAAATAAACTTCCATCTGTATTGCCAATGAAAGAAATCCAACATAATCCTCACCTCCTGGCAACATGTATTTTGGTTGGATGTTTCTAGACAACAGCAAAAACAGTATAATCAATTAACTGTTGTTTTCATTAATAATAGTTCATGATATACTTTAAGAAATAGTAGGCCTAAGTTTATCCACTATGGAAAAAACTTCAGACTGAGATATTACTACAGAAACATCAAGTATCAAGCAAAAGAATGATATACTTTAAGAAATAGTAGGCCTAAGTTTATCCACTATGTAAAAAACTTCAGACTGAGATATTACTACAGAAACATCAAGTATCAAGCAAAAGAATCCCTTAAAAGTATGACAAAGATGACCTCTTCTTGTTGAATCAAAACCAATAGGCTGTTCAATGCATGATTCTCAAAGAAATTATACATGGTCATCAATTATTTACATAGAAATTTAGTTCATTTTTTATGGCATCATCATTGCTAGCAATAGGAATTCACATGTCACTATTTGACCAATATCTGTGGATAAAGCTTACGCAACATTTTGGGAGGATTCTCCAAAGATCTAGATCATCTAGGCGTAATTCTAAGTAGCCTAATATATAAA